TACGTGTCCAGTTAAATTCTGCCTCTTTGCTCTGCCCCAGTTCTCCACTATCTAGCAGGGCCTGGAGAGAAGCTGGTAATGAGGAAGATTAAACCAGTTACAGCATTTAAAGAAACTCTTCCGTGTTTGTTTTTGCCAGCATAGTCAAGTAGGCATACACTTGCTATCTTGTTCTAGAGCTTGGTTCATAACTCCTAGCCCGTTAGAAGAACAACTCTCAAACTATTCTATTTTAATTGGTCTGGTGTTCCTAAAAGTCCCTTGCTGTCCTAGAAAAGGAGAGATTAATTGCTGAGTGCACACTGTCTGTGACAGAGTTCAAGTGTGATACTCTTGGGGCTGGAGGCAATCTAAGAGACCATCTCATCAGTGCAGTGCTTTTCAGAGAAGAAACTGTAACCCAAGAAGCTCTGATGTCTTGCCTCCCTGAACAGTCTCTGGGAGCTCTGACTTGCTGCAAAAGAAGACGTGCTAGAGGCCACGTGTGGGTGTCCGGACACCAGCGCCCACTGAGCCCAGCCTCCCACCATTGCTGCCAATATGCCAAACACTGAGTGAGCTGTGGCGAACCAGACTTACTCATTCACCGGATGAATCCACCAAATGACTTCAGTTCACAGCATATGGAGCAGAAAAACCACCAAGCTAAGCCATGCCCAAATTCCTGGTCCGCATAAGCATGAAATAAAATAAAATGGTGGTCGTTTTAAGTTGACTAGTTTTGGGGTGGTCTGTGAACGCAGCAAGGCCTTGGGGAAGATGAGGTGGTTGCTGACTCTGGGGACCTTGGGGATGGAGGAGGTGGAGTTTAAGTATGGCCTTGAGGATGGGGGGCCATGGGCAAGTGGAGTGGGTGGGGACCTGGAGGGGTTGTGCCCAACGTAGAGAGGAGATTAAGGAGGCAGTGCAGGTAGAGCACATAGACAATGTGCCGACTGCAATGAGGCTGGTGTGGGTGAAAACATCTGCAGGAAGGGAGTTTTGAAAAAATAAAAAAGCACCAGTTAATGTCAGGGCAATTGCCTGAAATTGGAGATGCTAACTGCCACCAGGAAGGAGCTTTTAGGATGAAGGCCTTGCCTCTGGTTATTGCTTCAGTGTCAGATGCTATTTAATGTAGTATTTCATGGTGATGACCAAGTTCACTGGCCCAGCCTATACCCGAATGTGAGTGAGCTCTCGTCAGTGAGAGTATGAAAGGTACGGCTTGCCTTACGTCCATCTCAGCTTAGGGTGGTTTCCCGGTCATAGATTAAATCGGAAACCTGCATCCCAAGACTCCCCAAAGGAGTATCTGATTGAGCCTCTGGCCGGTCTCTCTACAATGTACCCATGCAGCCGTGTGTGCAATTCTGAAATTCTTCCAGTAAAGGGTCTTCCTTCTCAGCTTTCAGAATCCCCCTCTGAAAGCATAACCATTCTGTTCATTCACTTATTCAATACGTATTCTTGGAAGCCTCTAATATGCCAGGAACCGTTCTGGGCACTTTCCAACACTGAGTAATGCAGACGAGGCTCTGGTCCTGGGAAGCTCACGTTCTCACGGGGGAAACTGATGGCAAACAAGTAAACACACATGATAATTCCAAGAGCTATAAAGAAAGAAACCAGGGCATGTAACCAACAGTGGCTGACGGTAGGGGACAATATTTGATGGTGGGTCATGGAACCACCTGTCTGGGGAGATGATGTTTGGGTTGAGGTCTAAGTCATAAGAAAGGAAGAGAAGGGCTTCCAGAAAGAGTGAGCAGCACTTGCAAAGACCCAGAGGCTGGAACCCATGGAGTGTCTCCAGGATAGGAAGATGGTGAGAGGAAGGTCAAGGGCGGGCAGGTCGATCAGGGAGCCAGGTTCACACATTGACTATGTCAAGCTTTGTGGGGCCCAGTAAGGAGCTGGCTCTTATTTTAAATTCCATGAGTGCTCGCTTCGGCAGCACATATACTAATATTTTAAATTCCATGGGCAACAAGAGTGGGGAGCATGAGTTGGTTTATCTCTTTGGCTGACAGAATGAGTTAATCAGTATCAGTTATGAAGTTCCTGGGAAGAAGATCAAGTGTTGGCCACATTTTTCTGCAAGAGCCAGGAGAGTAAATGTTTTAGGCTCTGGGGCAGCTCGGTCTCTGTTGAAACTACTGGGTTCTGCGTCATGAAAGCAGCCATAACTAACATGTGAACAAAAGGAGCATTGCTGTGGCCCACTAGAATTCTTCTCTAGCCAGACAGGGGGTGGGCTGGATTTGAGCCAAGGGGCTCTAGTTTGCACACGGCTAGATTAGGCAATGGGTGTGGAAAGGCAGCTAAGCACCCCAAGGGAGAGGCGGTGAGTGTTCAGTGGGAGCACAGAGGATTCTAAGACATAAGGCCGCGGGCTCTGAAGGGGAAGGAGTAAAATGATGTGAGCCGCAAAGCTTTCACATTTCCTCATTTTGCAAGGCCCGGTCCAGTGACAGCGTATGTGTTTACCTATGTTCCAGTGATGGGCCAGGGTGGTTGATGCCATGGGACCCACAACTTGACAATTTTGGACTCTCCTTTAAGGAAATGAATATAAAATTACAGACACAAAATTCCAGGGACAGGGCCCTGAAAAAAACCTGCCCAAGTGACAAGCCCTGAAGCCTGTGCTGTATTAGCTGCAGGGTGAATCCGCCTCGGCTTGTGTTTATGTTTTTATCCCCCTGAGCTCTTAGCAACCATCGAAGCCTCATTATTTTAAGTCAGATTGTTTCCCAAAAAGCCTCCTTTAGTGACATCTGGTGCATGACGAATACTTTGAAACACTCAGAATCCTGAAGATGAAAGAGTCGCCTGCTGTGGGTATATACTGCAGGGTCCTGCTGCGTCCGATTTGTCCCCACAGGGGGAGGGTGCGTAGGCCAGCCCCAGACCAGTCCTCAATGACACAGGCAGCGGCAGCCCTGCTGGCTTGTGAGGCTGCCGTCTTGCGTGTGTCCTTCTTCCTGGATCTCCAAATGGAACCAGAAAGAGTGTGTGTTGGGGCTTTAGGGAATGAAATGAGGGGCGCCCGGGTGGCTCAGTTGGCTAAACGTCCGACTCTTGGTTTAGGCTCAGGTCATGATCTTGCAGTTCATGAGTTTGAGCCTCGTGTCTGGCCCTGCACTGAAGGTGCAGAGCCTGCTTGGGATTCTCTCTCTCTCTCTTCTCTCTCTCTCTGCCCCTCCCCTGCTCATGCTCTCTTTCTCTAAATTAAATAAACAAATAAACAAACTTAAAACAAAAAGGAAATGAAATTAAAGACACTGTATGAACTGAATTTCTTCCATTTTGCTCTGAAAGATTTTACATGTGACACTCAGTGCTTTCTCTTGATTCCACGAATCTTTATCAGGCAAGTACTTTGATAAACACTTGTAGTGGGAACCAAGTCTCCCAAACATCTACGTGTGAGCACAACTGCCCTATGGAGGTTGGAGGTGGAGTTTGTTCGGTGGCTTAAGAGAGAGAGTGAAGAGAGGCATGGGTGTAGCAGCCAGTGAGCAGTGGAAGCAGGTGTCTCTGCAAGTTCTCTCGCTTTGCGCCCCACTCTGTCCCTCTCTAGTGTCCTGTCAAACAAACTGTCAATTGACTCCACAGAAGGAAGGAAGGAAGGGAGGGAGGACACAATGTGCTCGAGGGGCATGGATTTCTTTGGAGACGGCAGAAGTAGCTAAGCTCTGCAGCCAGAATGTGGAGGAGGGTGCTGGAGGGGGGTGAGTGGTAAACAAAGCAGGTAAGGAAATAGGAAGCCATGGAAACTCACAGAAATGGGTGGGGGAAGATTTAGATGGTCACAGAAGCCCTGGAATGAAGGTTGGTTCTAAACTTAACCACGTCGATGAAACACAGAGGGTCCCCACCTGTAGCCCTGATGGCAGCAGGCACAACGCGTGTCCTGTGGAGTCCCCGTGGGGAGTGGTGGCCGCCAGCAAGCCGGACATGCTGTTGAGCACATACAGGTAATCCCTGGAGACCCCCAGAAGTATTGGGGGTTTGGCAAGGGGTTGAGTGTCTTTGCAAATAGATGCATCCTTGTAAATCAATGAAATGTGGGTATCAATGTGACCCCACTGAGCAAGCTTGGGACATGTGACCTGCTGTGCGTTTCATATTTGTCTCCTCTTGACTATGAGGTCGCTGAGGTCATGAACCTTGACTCTGGTGTTTGTAACTCTCCCTGCCCCCCAAGCACACTTATTCCTTCCTTCCCAGTGCTGAGCATAGCCCCCAGCATGTATGGTATTCACTGTGATTGTATGCATGATGGATACATGAATAAAGAATGCACAAATTAAATACTTTCCGTGGAAGTCTGTCCACGAGCCCACATCATCCTTCCTACCTGAGCAACTCTAGCTTCCTTCCTGAGCTTCTGGTCTTTGTCTATCTGCCATGAGAGAATAAATGTGCTTTCCTAGCATCACTCAGGCCGACATTTGGAATTCTAGAATGGCGGAGCTGGAAGGGACCTTACGTATGGAGTCCAAAGCTTTTGATGAGATCTGAGCTCCTTATTAGAAAACCCAAGGTAAATCTCAGTAAACTCCCATCTTTGTGAAATCCGAAGAACCAGGAAATGCAAAGGATTGGAATCCCTTATATAGATTCTGCCGTATTTTTATCTGTAAGAATATCTTCTATGTGAAAAGGTCTTTATAGGATGTTATATTCTTACACACTATCTTTTTAGCTAATGGGAGAATATGCAAGTAGGGGCAGAGAGGTAGAGAGAGAATCCCAGGCAGGCTTCGCTCTGTCAGCACAGAGTCCGACATGAGGCTCGAACTCACGAAGTGTGAGATCATGACCTGAGCCGAAATAAGAGTTGGACGCTTAAGCAGGTGCCCCACCCCCATTCTATAAAAGTTAAATTACTTGCCCCGAATTATTCAGCTAGCAGGTGGTAACCAGGGTTCCAGGTGGTCTACAGATTGTAGGTTTAGATACTACCCACCATGTGGTGGGAAACTTCCATTGGAAGTTCCAATGGAACTGTCCATTCCATGAACAACCAAGACGCGAGCTGATGTCAAGTCTCCCCTTGAGAACAAACACAGCGTCCAGCTTCTCACAATCTCTGTTTCTTCTGAAGCCCCAGAGCTGAGCCATGGTGTCAAATCCCCAGGTACAAGTTCACACTGCTATTCTGCTAAGTCTCCTGTGTTGTGACCCCGTGTGAAGTCGGTGTTACCCTAGGTGAGGAGGGGGGTTTTGTTTACTACTGCCCCTGTAAGAAATTACTACAAACTTAGTGTTTGAGAAGTCGTCCAATTCTAGAGCCTTACAGAGTTCAAATCAAGGTGTCCACAGGGCTCATTCCTTCTGGAGACTCCAAGGGGAATCCTTTCCCCTTCCAGCTTCTGGAGGCCATTAGCGCTCCTTGGCTGGTGGCCCATTACATCAGTCTCTCCTTCCAGAACCACACTGCCTTCTCCTGACTCCCATGCATCCTGCATCCTTTCATAACGGCCCCTGTGACCGCAGCAGGCCCATGCGCTAATCCCAGGTCATCTCCCCAGTGCAAGACTCTTATTTTAATCACACCCGCAAAGTCCCTCTTGCAGTACAGGTCCTGGGGGTTATAGCACAGCCATATTTGAAGATCAGGGAGAACTGGATCCTCCTAATGTATCAGGCTCCATGTTTTCCAAACAAAGATTTTTAAATATTACTTCCCAAAGGATTTATCTCGGAAGGGAATGAGAAGGCTAGAGAACGCAAGGCCGGCTCTCCCAAGAAGGGGAAGAAGGCATCTAGTGTCTGCAGCATAGAAGTGTCCTCACAGAACTGTCCCCCTCCGTCTCGGAGGCCAGAGCGGAGGTGGCAGTAACCAGACGGCATCCATGAACAGAGACAACATTCGTATCAACTTTGGGGAAGGCAGGGGGCAGGGTTTGGGTCTCAGCTTGAGAACCTGGGCTGTCTCAGTCCCAGGATTAAAATTGTGCGAGCACGTCCGGGGTGGGGGTGGGGGGGGTTCCGTGGGGCTGACCCACCAGAGGCCTCTCTGCCTACACAACGCAGGAGCCCCTGGACAAGGCTCACCCTAGTGGTAGCTGGAAATAGTGGAAGCCACATGCTCAGAGCATGAGAGACTGAATGGCTTTGGGGGTCCGGGGGACACGTCTGTCACTCACATCACTGCCTGCACCAGACACGTGGGCTCATGGCCAAGGAAGTTAAACAGTAAGTACAAGCTAAAAGAACTGTTTTCTCTAAAATCCCTGGGGGCATCAAGAATGCAGGCAGGGCTTCACGGACTGGGCAGCCCGGTGCCATGGATTTGGGTGTCAGCAGGAAGTGGCACAGGCGCCTTTTGTGGTGGAATCCGGGGCTCCCTGGGCCTTAGCTGGTGTTAGCAGGGGAAGAGAAAACCCGTGAAACCCATCTTAGGATCCCCCTAGGAGTAGTGAAGGGATGAAGAGCTGTGAAGGTGAGCGGAGGCTCCTGGTAGGTTGAGTTGCAGGGAAATCAGAGAATATCTGTGGCAAAATCATACTTTAAAATATTAATAGCAGTCTTGGGAGCCTGGGGGGCTCAGTCGGTTAAACGTCCGACTTCGACTCAGGTCATGATCTCGTGGTTCGTGGGTTCGAGCCCCATGTCGGGCTCTGTGCTGACAGCTCAGAGCCTGGAGCCTGCTTCAGCTCCTCGTCTCCCTCCCTCTGTCTCTGCCCCTCCCCTGCTTGTGCACACATGCTCACTCGCTCTCTCGCTCTCTCTCTCAAAAATAAAATAAAGTAAAATAAAATAAAATAAAATAAAATAAAAAATTAATAGCGGTCTTAATTTCCCTGTTACTTTCTGTTACCCCACAACCTCAGGACCGTTTTCCATTTCAAGCCCAGACTTTGAGGTGTTCATTGCCATGGAGAATTGATGTTATTGCAAAAAAACAGAAAGAAGAAAAATAAAACCAAAAAAACCCCAAAAAACTTTGAGTTTTAAAAGCGCAGCCCTGAGGGTCCTTTAGGCATAAACAATAGATTTGGACTAATACCTGGTAAAATTTAGGGGAAGGCATCTTACCTCAAGACTAACTCAAGATTCTAGGAAGTTGCTGGGAAGGGGTGGAGAAAGAGAAGAAGTGTTATGTGTTGGGGGGCAGGGGGTAGGTTAGGGTGCATTGTGCTCTACTCGTTGCTGGTGTGGGAGTGAGGGAATCTTTAGTTTTGGGGGGAAACCTGAGAACAAAGAGACTTTGAAGCTGTCTGCCCTAAGTAGCACCCCACGAGAAAGGACAGGCCATAGAAAAGCCTCACCTCATGGGTGCCCGAGTCCCAGACTGTCCCTTGCCCTTCAGTGGAGTTTTGCCAGCAGCTGAGGGACAGTCCAGTAATTGCTCTGATGAGCAAATCGAGTCCTGATGGGACCGGAATGTCTCAGCAGATGCCTACCCATAGATGATGCTATTTTCCCAGTGATACCATTGACCCCTCCCTTTCCAATTCACACACAGCCCCAGCAAAGGGGAAATCCCCAAATAGATTGTGATTCAGTTTATGCTATTCTAGCATAAGAAAGGCTCGAAATAAATCAGATCACGTTGTAGAAAAATAAAGATCACATTCTGTGCACATCTGAATCAGAGGACTGAACTTTGCATTCTTCACTTCCTGCGGATGCATTTATAGGAGGCCCCAGGGTCCCTGGCTTATCGCAAGGTGGCTTGTTTTGACAGGGCCAGAGTTCAGATCCTTCAGGTAGGGCAATGAGTGTTTCAAGTGAGATGTGCGTCCGCACGTTCACCAGCATCCCAACGCTGCCCTTGTGTGTGAAGTGACTCTCCGTGAGGGTCTGAAAAGATCACCTAAAATTTCATTTTCATTTACCTATTGTACCGTTCAGGCCTGCGGGGCGGAGGGGGCACAGGGGAGGGGGAAACTCCAGAGAAAACTCTACACTGCCGTGATGTCTGTGAATTGGAAGATTTGGAACTGCCTTGGGATATATGTGGCTTGGAGATCACCTGCGCTATGTTGGACCGTTCAGAAACCCGGTTCAAGCAGCAGAGATTAGTTAGAAAACCCTGACACTGGTTTTGAATGTCTTGTGCACAATTTTGCACACGCCCCAAACTAGAGAGAACAGCGTGATGAGCCCCCAAGTTCCCATCCCCGAGCTTTAATTATTAACATTCTGCCGATCTGAAAATACAGTTTTAAAGTGGAAACACTTTGTTTTAAAAGTGAGGCAATGCCTGGCTGAGGGGCACATGGGACTTCTCCACTCACACACCCGGGATGCGCTTCCTTCTCCGACATGAGTGAGATTGTGCGCTGATCGATATTCAGTATTCAATAGCTGTCATGTTCCTCAGTCCAGCCATCTGGGGACATGGAGGGTCGCCTCTCTCACCTCCTCCATCCCAGCCTTGGGGCTACTGTTTGCTTGTTCTGCTTCCTGACTCAGCTCCAAACCGGGAACCTCAGACTTGTTTCCAAACAGCCTTCCTTGTGGGATCACACTCTTCTGAGTGTGCAGGTGATAATGGTCCCTTGCCTTTCAGACTCCTTCACCCGCTAACGCACTTAACACCAAGTTGTCACCACCTGTGAGCCAGACTTGGGGCTGGATGCCGGGAGAGGGTGAGTCAAGGTCCTGGCACTTGAGGGCGCTGTAGTCTGGAAGGGGTCTTCTGATGGCTCACTTGTCCACTTAGGTTTGAAGGGGTGGGTGTCAAACCAGGCTTCACTCCTCCCCAGGGCCCCCCCTGGGCTGCGGCTGAATGGCTAAGGTCCTCTTTACTCTGTGATTGATTCTGAGGGATGCCGGATGGGGCGGTACTGGTTTCCTAATCCACAGTACCTTTTCCATGTACGGTTCTCACAGGTGGGTCCCTCACAAGACCATCTTTGTAGAACTGAAGATACGGTGCTCAGTGATGCCGACTGATTTGCAAGACATTCCACAGCAACAGACCTTCTGGTGTGATTTGAGCCCTTGCCTTGTGCCTTAAGTTACATTCTTTAATAACACACCCACACACCCAGGGGAGGGGTTTTTAGGTGGGTACACAGCTCTTGCTCTCAGAAAAAAAATATATTTCTCTGTTGGTCAGGACGGGAACGGTTATGCTATGGTAACAACCACAATGACGGGGCCCTACTAGGTGACAAAAGAAGGTTGAAAGCTTGGGGACCTGGGAAGGACATGTTATAGAACAGCCACTGGGCGGTGGAAGGGCCAGCTCACAGACACCCCAATTTCTCAGCCTAGCCCTCCATTCTTCCCAATTTCAGAGTCCGAGGGGGCAGCCTCCCATTCACGTCTTTTCAAAATCTCACGTGTCCCCAGAATCATATCTGCTTCCTCTCCTGACGAGAAAGAGCTTGCGTGACCAGCAGCCTCACAGGCAGTGGCCGCGGCGGGGAGAATGGGCTCCTCCCAGCTTGCACCTCCCCCCCCCCCCCCATGCAACAGGTTTCAGCCACTCACCTGGGCCTGGAGAGTCTCTTTCCAGATGATGAAGGATGATGGCCTCTCAGATCTGGAGGTGAATCCGGTTCACTCTTACTGTCACTAATGGCCCCAGGAGAGCTCATTGCAGACAGAGTCTCTCATGGGCAGATGTGCAAGAAGATCTTCACATGCATGACAGGTGTTTGAGGTCTCCGGACACAAAGCCACATTGGAGGTGGCAGGCTTGGTGGATGACCTTTCCAAGGCTCTAATCGATCCTGTTCTTTAAAAAAAAAAAATTGAACATTTATTTATTTTTGAGAGAAAGAGACAGAGTATGAGCAGGGGAGGGGCAGAGAGAGAGGGGGACACAGAGTCCGAAGCAGGCTCCAGGCTCTGAGCTGTCAGCACAGAGCCCAGCACAGGGCAGAGCTTGAACCCATGAGTGGTGACATCATGACCTGGGCTGAAGTTGGATGCTTAACCGACTGAGCCCCCCATGCGCCCCTAATGGGTCCTGTTCTGACCACACTGTCTGTGGTGTGGTCACATAGAAACACATAGAAATTCTGTAATCTTTTAAAACATAGCAGGTGCCATTGTGCCGATTTCTAAAAAGGGCAACATTTATGGCAATTTTATTACCTTCTTTTGACATTTTTTTCAATTTACTTTAATGTTCTGAAGCTTCAACGTTGGAAATTGGCCTTTGGTGGTGTCTGAAAGTTTTGCCCAAACTCCTTAATTCTGTAGGAGACCTGGTCCCAAGAATAGGGTATTGTTTCTTAAGCCATTGATTTATTCAGGTTCTAGATTTCATTTACTAACTTCTCTAAGTCACATCAAGAAATTACTAATCTGCTGTGTCTGCTACCACAGACTGACTTTGGGGAATTTGAAACAGTACTTGGAGTCATTATGGCTCTAAAAACTTTCATTGCTTCCAATCATGCATCATCAGGGAAATGCAAATGAGACCACGAGACACCACTACACCCCTATTAGAATGGCCAAAATCCAGAACACTGTCAATGCCAAATGCTGACAAGAATGTGGAGCAAAGGGATACCTGGGTGGCTCGGTTGGTTGGGTGTCTGACTTCAGCTCAGGTCATGATCTCACAGCTTGTGGGTTCCAGCCCCGCATAGGGCTCTGTGCTGACAGCTCAGAGCCTGGAGCCTGCTTCAGATTCTGTATCTCCCTCTCTCTCTGACCCTCCCCTGCTCATGCTGTCTCTCTCTGTCTCTCAGAAATAAATAAAACATTAAAAAAAAGAAAGAATGTGGAGCAAAAAGAACATTCATTCATTGCTGGTGGAACAGCCACTTTGGAAGACAGTTCGGCACTTTCTTATAAAACTAACCCTACTCTTTCTGAGCGATCCAACAATCACGCTCTTTGGTATTTACCCAAAGGAGATGAAAACTCAGGTCCACACCAAAACTTGCACGTGATTTATAGCAGCTTTATACACAATTGCCAAAATGTGGAAGCAACAAGATGTCCATCAGTAGGTGAACAGAGAAACGGTGATCCATCCAGACAATAACATAATTCAGCGCTAGAAACAAAAGAGCTAGCAAGCCATGAAAAGACATGGTAGAACCTTAAGTGCATATTACTAAGTGTAAAAAGCCAATCTGAAAATGCTCCATATTGCAGGATTCCCACTACATATTTGGGAAAAGGTAAAACTTTGGAAACAGTAGCTAGATTAGTGATGGGAAGGGATGAGCAGAGAACAGGAAGAACACAGAGGATTTTGAGGGCAGTGAAAATACCCTCTATGATATCATAATGGTGGGTGGATATGCATCATCACACATCTGCCCAACCCCACAGACTGTACAACACCAAGAATGGTGCCTTATGTACCCTGAGGACTTTGGGGGGCTATGATGTGTCCATGTAGGTACATCCTGAGTAAAGAACATACCCTTCTGGAAGCGATGCTGGTAATGGAGGAAGCTAAGTGTATGTGGAATGGGAGTATATGGGAAATCTCTGTATCTCCTGTTCAATTTTGTTGTCAACCTGAAACTTCTCTTAAAAATTGTCGTAGAAAAATAAAAAACAAACGAAAAAGCCCATTCATCTCAAATGTGCAGATAATGGACACAGGATGCCTTCACTCTTAAATTATCTGCATAGTTGCCTCAGTTCCTCATAAATTGCAGTAAATACATAAGTCATATAGGTGTGTGTGTGAATCATCATAAAACATATAATATTGAATAAAATGTTTTGATATGTTAGTTATCAAACTTATAATCAACTTTGATTCTTTTTAAAAACAATGCCCCATAGGCTACTTTGATGTGAACGTTTCTCATGCTTTCTTTTACATCCTATCTATTTTCCAGCCAGAAACTGCATTGTTTGATTGTTTCACTTTGGAACATGTGCTCGGTTGGTTCAGTACAGGGTTCATGTATCCCCAAACCAGCCAGTCATGTAGTGATGAATCCAGGGTCCCTAGACTTAGGTAACTGTGATGGTCATTGGTGCTGGTCACCGCTTCCCCCAATATTTCCCTTCTGTCACTTCTCATCTTTCCTGTGATGGAGGAAGTCAGGGGATCACTCTAGCTAAGGAGCTGTAAGTAGCAGCATGCCCTCCTGGTCCAGGGCATTCGACTCCTGCCATGAAATGTCTGGGACTTTCCTTCCCTTTGTCAGGAAAACTGATGACCTTCCAGATTAGGGCTGCTCTGTCCAGTTTGGGTGCTGGACTCAGGATGCTCCAGAGCTGGGTTAGACCTATAACACGAGCGAGAAATAAACCTTTATTATTTAACCTTGAAGTCTTTTTCTCCCCAGGGTTTAGCCTAGCCCAACTTGATTGATACAGAATATACTGTATTTCTGAAAGAAAGCACTTTAAACTACATGGCTTTCCAGTCTGAAAAAATGAGGCTATGTTAAGTTTCTTTTCATATATTTTTATCTCTGTTGCAATCAGGAGATCCTATGACACCATGCTAACGCTAATGGGAAGCTTCGGATCCCAAGGGCAAATAATCGTATATATTTCTGTCTATATTTGAACACATTTCCATAATTTTGCTTGTTTTGAACTGCAAGCCTCAGTCAGTTGCCCACCATAGGAAGAGTGGAAGATGAAAAAGTTTTATGGTAGAGAGTGGCTCATTTTGAGCCTGGGCTCCTTCTCTGTAACCAGAGAAGTGAGTCTACCATCTCTACATAAACTTTAGTTTACAAGAAGAGCAGATTTTACTTTGAGAAATAATCTCATAACATGAAATAAAGTTTGAGGTCTTTCTGGCTAATGACCTCAACAGCCATCATTCTTTTTTTTTTTTTTTAAGTTTATTTATTTATTTTGAGAGAGAGAGCAAGTGGAGGAGGGGCAGATAGAGAGGGAGAGAGAGAATCCCAATCCCGATATGGGGCCAAACTCACGAATTGTGAGATCATGACTTGAGCCGAAACCAAGAGTTGGATGCTTAACTGACGGAGCCACTCATGAACCCCAACAGGCATCATTCTTAATCTGCTTATAGAACATTCTAAGAAGCACATCATGAACTGGCAAGAAAAAGCGTATAGGGATTCAGACATAGCCGGGACCACATTCCAGCTACTGAGCTGACTGCTGTGTGATCTTGGGTAAGAAGTGTAGTCTTTCTGTCCCTGCTCTGACAGCAGTAAACCTGGGATAATAATGTGCCACAATGATTCAATGAGAGAATGCATGTAAAGTGCTTGGCACACAGGGTGTTTAATAAGTGGTGGTCATTGTTTTTGTTGTTAATATTATTTGGCACATTTGTGAAATGGTAGCAACTCTAAGGTAGAAAAATCATTTTTAAGAGAAGAAAGGAATAGAGCCTCGGTTATATCTAACCTACTTGCTATGGAGTGATTGAGATATCCATTATCAACATTGGAGTGGGTAACACAGCAATACGATTTTCTGCAATGAAATTGCTTGTTTCAGCCAGAGGGTGGAAACATAGAATGAAGTTGTATTCTTTCTTCTGTGACATCCAGCACAGCACATATTTGTTGAGCACAAAGAAAGAGGAGGTGTGGTCAGAGAGGAAAGCACGCAGAATTCAGAAACAGGTGGGATTCAGCGAGACATCTAGACTTCCTTCTTTTTTTAAGTTTATTTATTTATTTGAGGGAGAGAGAGAGAGTTTGTGTGAACAGCAGGAGGGGCAAAAGGAAAGGGAAAATCCCATGCAGGCTCCATGTTGTCAGCACAGAGGCCGACACGTGGCTCGAACGCACAGACTGTGAGATCATGCCCTGAGCTGAAGTCAAAAGTTGGACGCTTAACGGACTGAGCCACTGAGGTGCCCCCTAGTCTTCCTTCTTTCCTACTGTAGGAAGTAGAAGATGGTATCCTCTCTTCACCTCAGGAACCCTCACCTTTAAGTAGGTGTTGGTAAAGTGGGCGTGCCTCCTCCCTGTTTGGCTGACACAAGGCTAACAGGAATAGCAAACACAAACTAGATGAGATAATTGAGGCACTGAAACACCTAAAGCGCCACAGTTAGTAAATGGTGGGACAGGACTTTGAGATTGAGAAGTTTCCAGAGTCTGGGCACGTAACCATTAGGTTGCATTGCTTCTTCTGATAGTGGATGACAGACCAAGCATCTTGGACACAGAATTTCCTCCAGTGTTATTACATCTCTTCTTTAGCATCAAATAGCACTTCCTGTCCCCCTTAGATTCTCCACATCAACCAGGGTGCGGTAGAAAGCCACCTCCTTTAAGAAATATCCTTCTATCACCTGAGTTTCCTCTGTTCACTTTTTCTCGAGCCCTGAGGTACTAACTAAGCCTCTAAGGTGATCTATCCACCAGATCTATTCCATACTGTGAGGAACCGCAAGTTCTTAAGAGTCAACACTATTCTAAATATTGAACCCAGAACACAAGTTTGGTACAAGAAGTCACCCACCCCGTTACGTGTGGAGGAAGACAGTCTTACCCCCAACAGCTCAGGACATGTTGCCAGTTTGACGAGGTACCTGGCAGAAAGTTCTGGGACGTCTAAAATGACTAGACACTCACACCTTTTCAAAAGCTCCCAGCTTGTTCATGAAGGTGGTGAGGAGTGATGTGTGAAATGTTTAAAGTTCTAAAGGAGCCAGGAAGAACTGGTGACTCTCCGACCCATGAGTTCCTTTTGCTTTTGATGCGAATTATAGCCACTTACGTCCACATCAGAAGTGCCGATTGGTTCTTGACAGCAGGATTTGTGAAACATAAATGATTTGCGGCTTTGACAAGAGTTCTTGGGGCCAGAATTAGGGAATGACAGTGCCTGAGGTGCATGTGTCCAAAATGTATCAAAACTGAGCAGCGTCCCCGGCGCAGGGCAGTGCCTCTGGCCCACAGTCGGTTTGTTTATCAACGACTTGCTTATCAGCCTCATAGACTGGCCAGGGTTTAACTGATTTTATCATTTCCTTGGTGTCTTAGTCTACTCCTGCTGCTATAAGAGAACATGATAGACCAGGTGGCATAAACAATAGAAATGTGTTTCTCGTGGTTCTGAAGGCTGAGAAGTTCAAAATCAAGGTGCCAGAAGACAGCTCGTTAGCTAGTGGCCTCCTGCTGCACACTCACATGGGGGACAGAGAGGTGGAGAGAAAGAGAGAGAAAGCTCCAGTCTCTTGCTCTTACGGTACTAAAACCATCATGGGATCATCACTCTTGTAGCCACATCTAAATCCATTCACCTCCCAAATGTCCACCTCCTAATATCACATTGGGGGTTAGGGTTTCGGCATATATATTTTGGGGGGGTCACATTCGGCTCATAACACCTGATAATTATGGATCCTTATTAAAAATTGGGACCATTAACTGCATCTTCCTGGTTTCTCTCTTTTCTCCGGTTTCCTGGTCCCTGAGTTCCAGCCTCCTCCCTTCTTTGTCCTGCTCTTGTCCAACCTCAATAGGCTGCTTGCTCTCTGGATTTTAGTCAGTTTGGCCAATGGAAAGTACTAGCAGAAGATCAGAGGGCAGAACGAGAAAAACTATGGATTTATCCCTTCACACTCCTTTGCCTTCTTTGTATTGTTCTGGAAATGGCTGCTTCCCTCTGTGATCAAAACTTCTGTTAGTCGCGGTGCCTGGGTGGCTCAGTCGGTTAAGCGTCCGACTTCGGCTCAGGTCATGATCTCACGGTTCGTGGGTTCGAGCCCCGCGTCGGGCTCTGTGCAGACTGCCATCTCAGAGCCTGAAGCCTGTGTCTCCCTCTCTCTCTGACTCTCCCCTGCTCACGCTGTCTCTCTCTCTCTCTCTCTCAGAAATAAATAAAACAATAAAAATTTAAAAAAAAAAAAAACTTCTGTTAGTCAGCATTGTGTTCCACGGCTTCAGAACCCCATGTGGGGTTCTCACGTCAGTTTCCTGTCCTCCCTTTCAGGCCCAGAAGGTTGATGGCTTCCTGATGGCTGGGTTCTCAGCGCCTCATTCTCCCTTGTGTCTCTTACCTTAAACCAGGATTTTCAACCTCAACACTATTAATATTTGGGCCAGGTAATTCCTTCTCGTGGAGGGACTGTCCTGGGAATTTTAGGTAGGATGTTTAGCGACATTCCTAATCTCCACCCACTAGGTACCAGTAGCAGCTACCTTAGTTGTGAAAGCCAAAAATATCTCCAGATATTGCCATATGTCATCTTGGATGCAGTCATCTCTAGGTTGGAAACCAACTACCTTAAACCTATTTCTGTAAATGATC